CCTTCAGCTCAAAGGTCTCTCCATCCAGCACAACAAATCCACCTGTGATACAAAAAGGGGATGCACGAGAAATCACACACTCCTCTTCCAAACCAGTGAGTTTGTTCCTGGAGTTATTACGGTGCAAAGTACCTTTTCCATTGCCAGCTGCATCTCCCATGTTGGCAATCAATATGTCACCATTAGGCAGGCTGTGAACCACACCGAGGTATCCCTTGTTGCACTTCCAGAAGACATCCACTGGCTCAATCGTCTGGAAAGAGATGACACACATGTTTAGGACTCTACTGCTCAGCTCATTCCACACTCCCTGGCAGAGCCCTTGGCCATCGGAGACTTCTGGAAACCTCTGACGCCTGCAGGAGCTGTCTTTCCAAGAACACACACTTGCCAGGGCCTGCTCCTTCTTGGAGAGGAGCACAGAAGCTTCTGCGCTACCGTCTACAAAGAGAACTCCTAACAGCTTGTCTGCCCACCTCACTATCAGCATGGGGGCAGGTGTGGTGTGCTGTGTCACCTCCAGGCATTAGACTCTCCCTGAATGCAACAGGCACACAGAAAGGAACGCAGCGATGATTGGAGCCTTCCTTGGTCAGAACGGGGAGAGCTGAGAGGGAAGTGTGACCCAGCTCTCCAAAACCAGGGGGGAAGAGCAGATGGAGAGAGAACCCTTCTTCCCCATGTTTTACTCAAGACGCACCACTTCCCAACTCCTTCCCAGAAACTTGTCTTTGGATCACCTCAGGCATACCTTATAGAGCTTGGGAGCCCGGCACTGTGAACCCACATCCACCACGTAAATGCGGGAAGAAATCAAACCAGGAAGAATCAGCTTGTTCCTTCTCGTTGTGACATTGTCAAAGCAGGTCCTGCCAGCGCTCCAACCCGAGGAATGCAGCTCATCTTTGAGGTTGGGCACGGGCAGGCGGTGGATCACCTAGGCAGCCAAGGTAGAGTTAGGGTTCACATGGGGAGGCAGGGAGAAACGGGGGGGCTCGGGCCGGGGGGGTCTCGCTCTTTTCATTTGCCTGCAGCTGGGACTGCCTCTAGACTCGGGGAGCACTGCTCCTTGCACTGGCACTGCTCTTTGTTAGGGCACTGTGTGCAGCTGAGAAATGTGGAGATTCTTTCAAGAATTCCTCACTCCCTGACATTAAAATTCAATAAAATCACATATATATGAAGAAATTATGACTATCATCCTCACAAAACTGGTGCATTGCTCTGCAAACTCCTCTTAAGATTGGAGCTCAAAGGTGGTTAAAACTTTCAAAAGCCCATATTGGCTTTAAAGTGTGTCTTCTTCTAAGCTCTTGCAGCAATGGACTAATTGGGTCATACACACACCCTCGACGCAGAAAACCCGTCCTTGCAGCCTGCAGAGCAGGTCAGTGCCCATTTCCCACCGAGGACGGCAGCAGACAGTGGGTGCAGCGCACAACAGGACGTCTCTGAACGTGCAGCACAACAGCAAGAGGCTGGACTCTGCAGAAGGGCTGGATGCCCTCAACCACCTGGGTCACGAGAGACCAATCTCCACGCTGAGCAGCCGCTGACAGGGGATTCAGAGCACGTGCCCAAAAGCTCACTAACAGCACCGAGATGCTCTGGAAGTGAGTTGGGAAGTGAGTCAGAGCACGCTTGTTCCCGGAAAGAGAGATGGAGATGATTCAACTAGAGCCAAGCATACAGGGAAAAGAGAGCAGGAAGGTGAGATTCCAAGCAGGCACATCCCTATCTCATGCACAGCACCAATGGAGAAGCAAGAAGTTGACCTGCCACAACAAAACTCACAAGGGGTTTCCCAGACACATCTTGGCAGGACATGAAGAGGCAGGGGCAGGAGTCAAGCCAGGGAGAATGAGACAGAAAGAGGCAGAAAGACAGAAAGCACAAGATGCAAACAGACAGCCTGCATGTCAGAGAGCCTGATTTTCCCCAGCAAAAAAGAGTAAATATCCTGAATCTGGGGGCACTACGGAGCACAGAGCCAGCAGTTAGTCACCAGCCCAGTAAAAACCAGCTGAGACACAGGTACCTGGCTGTAATACGGAGATCTGGGGTTGAGATCGATGGTGGCCAGGAAGTCAGGTTGGTCGATGCCTGTTCCCCTGTAGGTACAGGCCACGAAGCCACCCTCCTCTCTAGGAGCTGGGTTTACAGAAAGCTCGTGTTAAACGTGCCATGAACCAGCCAGAAAGGGAAAGAAAAGCTTCAACAGCCTCTCAGATAGGATGGAATTCATTTTTCTGGATGCCGCCCTCTTCCTACAGGCAGTTGAACAAGATGATGGTTGTACATCCCTTCCAGCAGGAACTGTTCTGTTCTATTCTATTCTATTCTATTCCATTCCATTCCATTCCATTCCACTCCTCCTTGCTCACTGAACTCTGGTTCCACCACTGACCCAGAGGTCAGGGAGGGACTCTACATGCACAGTTAATTAATGGTGGTCTCCACTAACCTGAGCTCCTTCCCAAACACCTCCCATTCCAAAACATTCAAGAGGACTTGCCTTTCACAGCATCCGGGCAGGTGGGGTACTCGTAGCACTGAACTCTGCATCTGTCTGCTTTGAGAAGAAGAGAAGAATTACATGAGAAACGTCCACACTCTTCAAAGGTGCCTGTGCAGAAGACTCTGTCCTACTCAATGGACCTTCTCCCACCCCAGCTGTCAGCAGAGACACGTTGTGGCACTAAAATATCTCAGATCCAGGACAGGAATCCTCCCTAAAGTACCACTGAGGATATCACAGATCAAACCACCTCCCAATTCTTCTGCACCCTCTGACCCCCTCCCCATCAGCACTGAAGGAGAAAGAGCTTCCACCGAGAACCATGTCAGTACCGAAGGTCTGGCCTGGAAAACAACTCTCGTTCCTCATCTCCCTGGAGATTCCCCAGCAGAAGGGGACAATCCCCTCACCACAGATGCTACAGACACATGGAAGGAGCTTTTCAAGGCTAAAAGAAGC